CTTTTCATCTAAGTAAATAGTGGGTAGTGACCTTCCAGAATTATCTCATGATGCTTGCTTAGACATCATTGTCACTTACTTTTGTCGGTCCAGCCTTTGTGCAGTTAGACCTTGGTTCATGCAGCATCAAGCCTTGCCCTAGTTACTATTTGCAAGTCCTATTTGATGTCCTTATGTGCAACAAAATACTTTCCTTGTTAACACATATCCTGTGTGCACGGAACCAAAGATTCATATTTGATGCAATGCAGTTCCAGTTGAAATTGATAATTTCACATATAAATGCCACAATCCTTATTCAAATGGTCGGTCACAATCTACCATGGCTTTCAGTGCATGTTGCATGATCCCATATGCATGCATATCAGTTATTATCTGACGTTGGTTGACTGTGGAAAACATGCTTTAATAGAATGTAATAGATTGTGTATCTTATTGTAGCCTGCGTTTAATGGATAAGAAGATATGAATTGGATTCAGATGCATAACTAATACTTTGATTTCTCATGATGACAAAATAGAGAACGGGACATGTATTTAAAATTGTGAAACTTTAGAAGATAATTTTATAGATATTTATGAGTCCTATAGAAACAAAGATTGCACTCATACCATCTTGGATGATATTTGAGCTGAAAAGAGTGTCAAGGTGTCTTACACCGTCCGAGATGACTGATGGAGGTTGATGCAACTCCAGTTAACACTGCATGGTTTTTCTATATCCTAATGCTCCTATTATTTTTTATTTTTCAATCTTGGAAATTCACATTTGCTGCAATTGAGTGCCTACTTTATAAGGTTGACCTGTCTGTTTGGTGTTTCCGTTAGCATCGAGCATGTCTTATTGTTTTTAACTCTAATATAACTTCAAACAGTTTGTTAAAAGGACTAGTTGCATATAAATCTTAAAAGTCTGAAATTTTACTTTACATGTCTGTGCTATGTGGCATATATGATTTGTTCATTAATCCTCGCCAATAATTTGGACAATTTCCGGCATCGGAGGCTTATGTAGCATCTTTGTTTATGTCTTAACTGTGATTGCAGATTGCGAAGATAACCGACGAAGGGGTGACCATCTCTCAGCCATATGCCCTGAAGACCTATTGGGGTTTCTCTGCCTTCCAAAACCCAAGCAAGGGAGCTGAGGGATCATGGTAATCAGCTTTGCACCCACATTTGTGAGACTTTGGTCAGGTACAAGACAAGGTTTAGTGGAATACTTTGTTATGATGATGTCATTACAGTTTGTTAACCTGAGCAACAATTGATTACAATTTATGCTCTTTCAACTTCTTGTCAAGCTTGCATTAATTTGGTCAACTAGTTGACGGTTTGCCTACCTATATAGAGTTGTGTTATTATCTCTCACGCCTCCTTTATACTTCAAATGTGGTTTTTGTTTTTGATGTGAATTGTAAGATGTTAGAAATGTTATGTTCGTGTTATTGACAAAGGTACAAACCATAGATCGATCTCCCTTATTGTGTACGAGTTACAAAAAGTCCACATACAGCTTAGTCACCACATTCACGTGACTAATTTTGTAAGGGGGTATAGACACGAGTTATTGAAAGCAAAACCCCAAAATAATCCATCGCATACGAAGTCATGCATTTGTTTAAATGTCTGTTTTTTCTTTTAAAGATCCTATGGGACTGCGTGAGGTTAAGACTGGTCTGATCGCAGATATCATAAGGCGTAGCATGGCATATAATAACGTGAGAACTGACGATGCCAAAAAAAGGTCTGTAGAGCATAGACGACAACAGGAAATATTGAATTAATCATGAACAGTTTCTGAATCAGACAAGTAAGGTGTTTAGCATTCTGCACGCCCCGAGACCGATTGTTTCATCTCGTTCTTATCGAATGCAGCAATAAAACGGTAAAAGCAAACTGATTCCGTCATTACCGACGGGCCAACTAATAATTAGATACACCTCACGAAACATAAAATGTGACAAAATTATAATTACCTTGATATTAGTATACCGAAAAAGCAAAGGCGCTTGTTGATGTAGAACTATCACGAGGATTTTAACCCTTCACCTAAGGTAAGTAACAAGCATTAAAGTCAATAGAGATTGATATAGTTCAACCACAGGTCTACCTTCACCTAAGGTAAGTAACAAACATTAAAGTCAATAGAGATTGATATAGTTCAACCACAGGTCTACCGACTCAAAGCCGCGATCAAAAACATATCTTGGGCTTGGGCTTTCTGGCATCTAATTTAACAACCTTACAGACTCTTACATCCAATGATAATTTATATCAGAAGACAGAAAGATTACTCTTTTTTCTTGAAGCATCTATTGTAACATGACTAACTAAAGTTAACAAAGCTAAAGTCGCAGATTTCAAGATTAAAATAGATTTACTGAAAATATCTGACAGTTATTAACAAAAAAAGCTAAAGAAAAAAGAGAGAGAAAACACATATATGGAAAGAAACTTCAGGAACAGAGATCAAGAAATCATTTTTCATGCCACCAAACACCTATGAGCTAAAGAACTACAGCATCCTCCAAGGTACCTTCAAATGCTGTTCTGAAGCCTAGAGTTAGTCAGCAGGAAAACACAAATCTACATATATTCACTAATAAAAATAGAACTACCTACTGCTGCTGCAAAGTCCAAAATCGAAAGGCTTAATCCAAGGACTAAGAGAAAAATATGCCAACCATAGAGCCAAATCGGAATGAAAAATAATTGGCAGAGTAAACAACGTTTGATCGAGAATACAAAGTTGATGCAGAAGAACCATTTAATGTAGTAGCTGGGGACTCCACAAACCTGTCAGGTAAACAATGTCGAAGATTTATGACTCTGAATGAAGCATGTTTAAGTAGATAAGATTTCCTGAGAACGGATGTAAAATCTCGAACATGTAACAACTATTAAAAGAATGCAAAAGAAATTAGAGGTAGTCTTCTGTGCAATTTTTTTTTTGTTACTGAGACATGGTCAGGGGGAAAAAGAAATCTCTCAACCTAGTTGCCACGTGAAGCAAAAATCAAGAATCTACTAGACAATCATGCAACGCAATATAATCTAAACTATTTGGGGTAGGCTGCACAAATCCTTTAGGGCCACTGAGCTGTGTATAGTGGTATACCTAGTGAAGTCAAGAGTGCTCATACCTCTTTATATTGTTTCTAGCACAGTTTCAGGTAAAGTTGGAGTAGTTTTTCCTCTCTCTCTTCCAGCACAACCTTATTTAATCATAGATTCGCAGGTCTCTTTTGATCTTGTTCCTCATTTTATATCATCTAACTATTAAATATTTCTTATTTTATCTACTCTAGTAGCTCTGCACATCCACCTAACATCATCATTTTTGGTTACCCAACTCTGTATGAGTTGTTTCTCAGGCTTCAACATTTCAATCCATAAAGCACAACTGGCTTTACAATTATCTTATACATATAAGGGGCACAGTATGATCACACAAAACTCTTCACTCCCTTTTACTTTTTAAACATCCCATTCAAGGATTGTCATACCACCTAAAACAGTACAAAACAGACAATATATACTGGTCCGGACATGGACCACCCCTGTTTCGGGTAGCCTGGTCCAACTCAAAAAAAAATAATAATAAATAAATAAACCTTAAAATAGCAGTGGAGCCGATCCAACTCAGCATTAAAAAAAGGAAAAAAACTAAAATAGAAAGTATTTGCGAGCCCTCGTCTCGCATCCAACATTGCTACCACCGCCATTGTCATCGTTGCTGGTTCATGATGCCATTGCCAACGCCGTTGTCGCTGCATTCCTTCTTCCAAGGTAGACTCCCACCTCATCTCTGCCGCTTCTTCTTCTTCTCCACCGCTTTCTCTTCTTCCTCCTCTTCCTCCACCCATGCTTCCTCTTCTCCTTTTTCTTCCTCTTTGAAACGTTGATACTTACCGGTGTATCAACATGTGGAACAGTGGTATTAACTAGTATACCAATCCGATCAAATCACTAAAACGGATCCCATACTCGAAACGGTGATCCTTGATACCATTTATATTTTTAGAACATTGTCTTCATCAGTCTCTTCTGCATATTGAATAATACATTCAAGAGGGAACTCAAGACACCTAAAAGTTTTATCAACAAAAATTTTTATCCATCAATTTTGATTCTTCTCTTAGTATTACAACATTTCATATATTGTGTCTTTGTTTTAATTAGTTTTAAACCTATAGTAGACTCTAATGCCCTCTCTGTATAAGTCAAATTTAAATCCATGCCTCATCAAGCAAAACGACAACATCAAAAGAATACAAAATGGAGGCCTACACTAGTACACAATGGATGTCTAACAATATGATTGGTAAGATCTTTACTAATATGAAAAGATCGATTGTGATCAGTAGTGCAAACCTGTGATTGTAAAAAAACTAGCTACACACTTCCCATAATCACAACAGTAGTGACTATTCTATCACACATTATCTTTATTGCATCAATACAATCATTAGGATACCCTTTCATTTCTTAAGTTTGTACAATCAATTTATGGAAACTCTTATCATATGTTTTTTTCCCAACAGTAGTAACTATAATTCTATCACACATTATCTTTATTGCATCAGTATAATCATTTGGATACCCCTTTCATTTCTGAAGTCTCTATAATCAATTTATTGGAACTCTATCATAGGTTTTTTCCATGCTAAAATAAATATTAAACATCTTGTTTCTTCTCTTTATCTTTTTTCATTAAAAGTCACAACAAATAAAATAGTTTATATTGTTGAACTTTTAGGTATACATTCAAACTAATTATAGAAAACATTCTCTTCACATTCTATACTTCCTTCTATCACTCTTCCTTAAAATATCATGACATAGCCCATTATCATAATCCTTCTAAAATTGAAGCAATTTTAAAGTTTTCAATTGATTCATCAGACATATTTTTATAAATAAGCAAATGAGAGGAATTCATCAAGCATTTTACATTATTAGCCTAGGTCATTACAATCAAAATTATTCACCACAAATAAATATAAGCGAACAAGTAGAATTCTAATTTCAACAAAGGAAGTCATTCATCGAATAACAGGATCATTGAAATGATAGGAAAACAAGTGTCATCACCATTATTTTCGAATTAAAACAATAAAAATCCAAGCTTTCCTACCACAAGCGAACCTTGTGGAGAAAGGGACGACAGAGACGAGCCTTGTCAACCTAGGGGGTGTCCCAAGGCTTGGGCTCCGGGACGGCAACAACCATACCTTGCAGCTCGGGCTGGAGGACGACCTGGCACCCGAGCCTGGCGTGCTTGTTGAGGATGCGGTCCCTGGAGGCCCTGGTGAGAACGTAACGCTCGTCGTAGGACGCCGACGGAAGCTTGTCGAGCCACTGCTGCGCGATGTGGACCTCGCACTCCGCGGAGCAGGCGTCGATCTCCTCCAAGCGGTGGGACGCGGGGTCGATGAGGCCGGCGTTGATCAGAGCGCGGAGAAGCGTCTGACCGGAGAGTCCGACCACTTCACGCTTGCTTCCTTCGGGATCGACGGCGTGCAGTTTGACGATCCGGTCGGCGACCTTCTTGGAAACGGAGGAGGAGGGAGCGATGGCAGCGGAAGATGAAGAGGAGCAGGGGCGTGCAAGGGGCCGGAGATAGATGAAGGGATCGGATCGAGCGAGGTGGACAGGGATCCGACGCAGGGCGGCGATCGCCATCGCTGGGGTTTCCCGGCTCTTGGAGATCCGGAGAGGTTGTGGTGGGAGGTCGATCCAACTCCGTCGGAAGCGTCTGGTGATTGGAAATAACGGGTCCGATTCAGGTCGGGTCCGAACGACCCGAAATCCAATAACTGAGCGGTTACGAGCAATCCAAGTCCAAAGCACTTGTTTGTTGTGGAACGAAATAGTAGTTCGCATACGGTACACAAATATATTTTTTATTTTATAAGAATATATACGTTAACGTTAGATTTATATTGGATAATGATTAAAATCACATGTTATATTTTATATATATATACGTGCACTTTTTAAAAAAATAAATCTTATGAATTTTTTAGGGTTAATTATAAATTATCCCTTGTAGTTAACTATCTTTAATATCTCCATCCCTATAATTTAAAAAAGTTATATTGATATTTCTATAATTATAAAAGTGAAATATTTCAGTTCATTTACACTAACATAATATTATTACCAATGAAAATATGAATATAAAGGATAAAAAAATAATTTTAATATTTTAATTGATGGTGGTGGATGACAATACGTAAAACGAATAACTGTTATGGATAAGGAGAGTGACAACAAGAGGTGAGGGTTACTCTTCATCTATGTCGACGGTGGGTATGATGACATAATCAACGTCAAATTTCGAGATCCACATTTTTCTATAACCACCGCATATGAAAGTGAAATATCTATATCTATTTACTCTAACATCGTTGATTTTATCAATGAAAACATGAAAATAAAGGTTAAAAATATAATTTTAATATTTTAGTTGGTGGTGGCGGAGAAAAATATATAAAATGAGTTGCTATTGTGGATGAAGAGAGCGACAACGAGAAGTAAGAGTCGCTTTGCATTTGTGTCGACGCCGATACAATTGTCGAGTGGCTCTTTTGGTGCTCTTCATCTACGTCAATGTCGGTGCAGTTGGCAAGTGATGAAGGGCCACTTGACATCTACATCAACAATAGTTTTAGCACTCGACAACAGCATCTGTGCCAACACAAATGCAGAGCGGCGAAAGGGTCACTCAGTAACTGTGTCAACGATGGGTACGATGATGTACTAAGCATCAAATTCTGAGACCCACAATTTTCAATCATCGTCGTATACATTCGTCGTGAGCTTGATAATCACTTGCCTGCTAGCCTTCCTAATCATTGACAACCGTAGCGAATAAAACTCGTTTGATTCTCTCCTTCTTCATGCCCATGTCGGAACTGACAAGGTAGCTGGAGAGCGTCAAGAGCTCTGGTGACCCTAGCATCAGATCAAGTGATATGCCCAACAGGTCAACGGTGAGGCGACCACCATCTTTGCAATAGACATCACAGTGGACACCACCATTTGCATTGACGCCGACGTAGTTGTAGAGTGATGAAAGGGCTATCGATACAGATGTCGAGTGACTCTTTCATCGTTCAATAATTATGCTGGTGTCAATACAGATGTAAAGCGGCCCTCACCTCTCGTTGTCGCTCTTCTCATCTATAACACCACCTGTGGCTCCTATGTTGGGAAATCTAGGGTAGCATCATATATGCAGCAGGAGAACAGAAAAATAAAATCTTAAAATTTCTTAAAGAAATAGTTTCTCGTCATCGTGCGAAGATTAGTATGCAAAAACTAGCAAAATTGAAAACTATGCATAAGTGAAAAATATGTTACCTAGAGAGATCGTATATCCCTGAAAACTATAAATATGTGGAAGAGGATGAAGAAGGTCAAGTATCGTCCTCTCTAGCAGTAATCCACATGGCAAGCGCTGCGAAGACACTCCTCAAATCACTGCATAATCCCCCTTTCCACAAACACCATGTGATCAAGAAGGGGCCAACCCGTCTTGCTATCCACATGCCCCAAACTAGAGTTGATAGTTGAGAAGGAGAGGGAGAGAGGAGTATAGGAGGTGGCAGCCAAAAGGGTCTATCTAGCCTATGCCTCCTTTGGTTCTCTCATATTTAAAAAAGTTCATATCAACTTAACCCTAATGGATCCTACCATATTGGGTATTGGATCTTCATCCAACTACTCAAGCCTTTTAGATTAGTGGATCTCCACCCAATAATCTCTCATTTATTCTTATCTACAAGATCTAATAATTTAGGGGCTTATTGGATATCCAATAAGACAGGGGCTCAAGTAGAGATATCATATATTAACCTCTATTCGTTGGAACACCTACCATATGTGTGTGACCCTCTAGGCCCAATATCGAGCTAGACGTGAGTCATACATGTTAGAACCCCTTCTGACTCAATGAATTATTTTCTCTGATAATAATTCACTTAACTCATCAACTATAGATGTACTAGGCTACTATGCCGTAGTCCCCAAATGGTATATGAGAATCCAATCCATTGGACTTGTCTGTCCTCGGTTACTTTGTATCTATAGTCCCTCATCCATCTAATAACCTAGAGATATGCTAGTCATATGTATTCTGCAAACCAATCACGTGAGTGATGGCATGTATGACATGATACACATTCTTTTTGCTTATTATATTTTGATATTTTATCACTTTATATTGCTTGTTGCATATATATATCGTGATGTCCATGGATCTCTACAATGAGAATCAGATCGTGATGAAATCATGATAATGAGATCGATTTACCTTTAAACACAAACCCTAAATAATCATGGTCATATGTTACTCGAAAGGGATATCGAGATAACTGGACAGACTAGTGTGCTGTATACCGATCCATATGATGGAGGCAACTGGTCTTATAGCTGCTCGAGTGGGAACACTAGGGCTACAATGCAGGTGCTCATTGGAGAATGAGTTCACTGATTGATCCACTCACGGAATGCTAAATAGTTAATGATACCTCATTGTTAGATAGTGATTCTGTTGTCCTAGTGATGTACTTGGTTCTTAGACTTGAGACACCAAGGATATTCTTTATAAGTACTCCACTCTTTAATACCGGACTTATAGGCTTGAAAGTTTCAGATTTAGCACAGCCGGTTATCGGGAGTGATAACCAACCTTATGAGGACTATTGAGTGTTGATAGAGGATCATCTACTCTCGATGTCTTGAGAGAAATATCTTATGTGTTCTTGCTCAAACAAATCTCTAACCGGTGTTAGTCATAGGTGCCCTACAAGCCAATCACGTGAGTGATGACACGTAGTCATTTTGCTTATCATATTTTGATATTTTATCACTTTATATTGTCTGTTACTTGAATATATTGTGATGTCTATGGATCTGTGTAATGAGAATTAGATCGTGATGAGATCACGATAATGAGACCGATTCGTCTTTAAACACATCATAAATAATCCCGATCATAGATTACTCGATAGGGTCATTGAGATAACCGGATAGACTAGAGTGTTATATACCCATCCATATAATGGATGCAGCTGGTCTCATAGCTACTCATATGTGGGGACACTAGGGATATAGTACAAGTGCTCATTGGAGAATGGGTTCACTGATTAATCCGCTTATGGAATGCTGGATAGTTGATGCTACCTTATTGTCAGACAGCGATTCCGAAGTCCTAGTAGTGTATCTGGTCCTTAAACTTGAGACACCACGGATGTCCTGTATGAGTACTCCACTCTTTGATATCATACTTACAGGTTTGGAAGTTCTAAATCTAGTATAGTCAGTTATTGGGATTGGTAGTCAACCTTACGAGGACTATTGAGTGTCGATAGAGGATCATCCACTCTCGGTGTCATGAGATAAATATCTCATGTGTTCTTGCTCAGACAAATCCCTGGCCAGGGTCATTTGGAATGAGAGAGAAAGAGTTCTCCGGAAGAATCCGATTAGAGCGAGACTCAAGTAGAAACCATATGGGTCTGACAGCACCATGCCCGGTATATGGTCTCTAGGATATTAGATAAATGAGGGACTATAGATACATGACAATTGAGGATAGACAGATCCAATGGATTGGATTACCCTATATCGTCTGGGGACTACGGCGTAGTGGCCTAGTACATCCCTAGTCGATGAGTCAAGTGAATCATTATAGAGATAATAATTCACTGAGTCAGAATGAGTTCTGACAGGTATGACTCACGACCAGCTCGATATTGGGCCTAAAGAATCACACACATATGGTAGGCATTGTGATAAGTAGAGGTTCAGATATGAGATATCTGTCGGAGCCCCTATCTTATTGGATATCCAATAAACCCCTAAATTATTGGATCCTATAGATGAGATCTAATAAGAACCAATGAGATATTATTGGACAAAGATCCACTAATCTAAGAGGCTTGGGTAGTTGGAAGGAGATCCAATACCCAATAAGGCTGGATCCATTAGGGTCATGTTGATATGGGACCTCTATAAATAGGAGGGAACTAATTGTTCATAGGCTAGAGCTTTTTGGTTGCCTCTCCTATTCTCCTCCCCCTTTTCACCTCAAAGTAGGTCTGGAGTTTTGAGGAGAGTTGTCATAGCCCTACTGTATGGATCACCAATAGAGAGGAGGGCGCTTGACCACTTTTACCATCTTCTAGAGATCTACAGAGATTCAGGGATATACGATCTCCCTAGGTAACACAATCTTTCATTTACGTGGTTTTTAAGTTTCGCGAATTTTACGCATCAATCTTCGCACGACGACGAACATATCTTTGGGAATTAGGGATTTTATTTTCTGTTCTTCCACTATGCATGTGATGTCGCCCCCTTGATTTCCCAACAACTAGGGTCATTTGGATTGAGAGAGAAAGAGTTCTCCGAGAGAATCTGATTAGAGCGAGACTTGAGTAAAAACCGTATATGTCTGATAGTACTATGCCTGGTATACAATCTCTGGGATATTAGATGAATGAGGGACTATATGTGCTAGTCATAGGTGCCCAGCACGCCAATCACGTGAGTGATGGCACGTGTGACTTGATACAGAATCTTTTT